CATACAAATTTCAATGCCATGTAAAATTTCTCGGAAGGTAAGTATTCTTCACGTTTAATATTAGTTTGTAAGTTTAAGTTACTTAAAAAAAAAATGATGCGGTGAACAAATTAAGATTATCTCTCCTTTGATCAAAAGTTTTGATTTCCAGATTTAGTATGATTTCTTAGATATAGGGAGCACTTTCGTTGAATGAGTCTAACGCGATACGAATTTGAATATGCTGACGCTCTAACATAAATATTGCATACTGAATTAATTTTTTATTTAAAAAGAGAGAGAGAGAGAGATAAAGCAACAATTTAGATTTTAGTACTATTTGTCCATAAAATATAAATTGAAGAGTTTGGTTGAGGTATTGTTTTTGTTTCCGAGTATGATCAATATTTGTATTGAGGTTTAATTTATTTTAAAATTATGCTAAAAAGGTGTCAAATTAACGATAAATATTTTTTAATAAAGATGACTCAATATTTGAGATTTCATATTACTCTCTTATTTCATTTTATTTGTCATGTTACGCTTTTCGAAAGTCAATTTGACTAATTTTTAAAGTTAAATTAGATTAGATTACATTAATTCAATATTTTAAACAAAGAGATATTCAAAAATTATAAGAAAAGTACTATAAATTGTAATTTTTTGCATATCAATATGTTGAAAAAATACATCTTAAAATGTTAGTCAAAGTTCTTATAGTTTGACTCTAAAAAGGGAAACAATGACAATTAAAAGTGAACGAAAGAGTACTAATTAAAGAGTTTGGTTGAGAAATTATTTTTATTTTTAATTTGTTGTATGATCAATATTTGTATTGACATTTGATTAATTTTAAAGTTATGCTATAAACTGTCAAATTAACGATCAATATTCTCAAATAAAAATGACCCGATACTTAAAACTTCAGATTACTAATTAAGAATGAAAGGATACTCAAGCATGTAAGAGATGAAACTAATGGAATACTTGGGAATTATAAATTCATGTTTTTTTTTTGTTTTTATGTTTTGGATTGAATATATGTCTTATGATGAGTTGGTTGAATAAAAACAACTGCAGTTAATATTCTACCAACTCAAAGTGACTTCATGACTTTGTTGGTACTTTCCAAGCTAATTGTTTAATAATAATAAAAAAAATCTTCATGGAACACCTCCAAATCCAATCACTCTCTAAATAAATATGACTAAAAATATATAGTAATGAAAGGGGTGTGCTTCTAATTCTCTTTTTAAAGTACTCCATTTAAAATATATATTATCTCAATATAATTTATATCTAATTTAAATAAATATTATATATTGAAACTGATTTTCTCTAATACAAAATAAAATCATTTTTAAAAGTATTTTACAAAATATCTTAACCAACCAAATATAAGAAAATCAGAAAACCAGCACACCCTAAATTAAAATCCGATCGGACATGATTGTTTTCCTTAAAAAAAAACAAGTAATTCAAAATAGTGCTTGGTTATACATTTTTTATTAAGTAAATTTAAAGTTAAAGAAATGATTTTTAGAATTTTTTTAAATCACATTTTTTATGTTGAAATGCATATTTAATACTTGGAAATTTCAACTCAAAGATGGTATACTTTGATTAGATTCCCTAGGCATGTGGAATTTTTGAATGTGGGACTTGTATGTATTTTTAGATGTGATGATTACTTAAGGCCATGCCCATGTGTGTTCAAAATTTGGAAGGAGATTGAATAATGAATATAGGCTTAAGTATCTCCGGCTCCTTAAAGTTGTCTGCATAATTTATTTAGACATTTCAATTAGGACTAATACCTATTGAACATTTTTATTGTTCAGAATAAGTACCTATTTGACACTTTTTGCTGACATGACAAGAAAGGTATAATACACATCCATTCAGCACGTCAGAACGTATTTTTGGTTTTTCTTTTTTATAAATCTCTCTCTTCTTCCTTAGCCATAACTTCTTCCAAAACCAGTACCATCTCTGCCATTGCCGCCGATGTTGCCACCACCACCTTCCACCCTTTTTTTTTCTCCTGCCTCCTCTTCCTCTTCCTCTCCCTCCCCCTCACCTCTATCGTATTCAACTGGGGAAACACCATTACGATTTCCTTCTCCATTTTCTTTAAATTTGTTGGATATTGTGATCTTATTTATTGAAAAAAATAGAGACTCCTACAATGACTACTCTGTTTCTTCTTCCATTTTTTTTCTTATTGAAAAATATATCTAACAAATCAGATTTAGAATAAAAACGAATCGCCTCTCCTTCCTCCTTTCTCTGTGTATTGCTTAGATGAGTATGTAGTCAATGATTTTATTGATATCTAAAATTATAAATGGTTCATATTTTGTAGGTTCATGTATTGGTTATTTTTTATGTATATGCAATTTGCTATTTTCAACTTAAAAAAAACAGATCTGAAAAAAAATTAGTGGATTAAGAGGATTTGAAGGTGACGACGGGTATGGTGGAGGACGGGGCTATGGTGACGATGACTATGGTTGATAGTAAATCTGTCTCTACTTCACAGAAATTCTCAATGCATCATTGGACATTGCAACAAGTTGCTTGATCTGTAGCTTGGTGGATGGCAACTTCAATTTTTTCTTTTTTCTTTTTTTCCCCGTCAAAATGCCACATGTACATCATTGATTTGCCAATTCTCCACATCATCGCGAGTGTATTACACACATTTTATACTTTTAGCTGATTGTCAAAAAAGTGTTCAAAAGGTTCAAATCCGAATTAGTAGAGGTGTTCAATAGGTACAAGTTCTAGTTGATGTGTCTAAGTGAATTATGCGGACAACTTAGGGGTCATCGATGACTTAAGCCATGAATATATTTGAATATAAGATATGAAAAAGCATAATACATAAATATGTCATTTAACTTGGCCTCATTTTATATTTATATCCTCTAATTTTGAGTGTGCACAAGTAAACACTTAAACTTGTATAAAGTTGAACTAGTAGACACATGAATCCTATGGGGCATAATATACATTGGACACCACGCAGGACGCAAATTGCCATGTAGGATGCCACGTAGGACGCGTGTGTCTATTTGTTCAATTTTATACAAGTTTGAATGTCTACTTGTGCATACGCAAAGTTAGAGGGCATAAATATAAAATAAGGTAAAGTTTAAAGGCATATTTATATATTATGGCACATGAAAAGGCATGAAAAAATTATGTGCCTCTCAATTATCCTAAAGTCCCCATGCCAAAGTTTGAATAAAGAGAAGAAAAAAGAAAAAGAGGGAAGAAAAGAAAAAGACAAGGGAAAAAGCTTCATAAGGGTGAAAGTAAGTGATTAGTAAAAGAGGGCAACTTTTCTTTATTATTAGATTATATAATATAATATAAAGAATTCTTTTCCTTGTCAAATTAAGTAGAAGGACATTTAAAGGTACTATTGTTTTTTAAAATATGAGATGTGTAATCTTGAAAATAAGATTCGTATATTTTTATTTTAGTCCTTTTAATATTTGACAAAATTGGTTTGATATGAAATTAATTGAAATGTGTGTTTTCGATATTATTAAATATAAAATAATAATATGCACGAGCTTAATGTAAGAAATATTACTAGTTTTCATACAGAAATTTTAAAGTTTCACGTACTTTTTTCTAAGTTTGATATGTGTTCAAAGATGTTATAGACAAATATGATCGTCCAACCCAATATATTTTAAATATTATTCAAACGCCTATTTTATTTAGCCTCAAGAAATATTTGTTTGTGGTGGTGGTGGTGGGTTTAAGTGGATGGGTGGGTGGTGGTTAATTACCCCCAATATAGTATTGGATTACTAGGTTGTTATGTCATGCTTGATGATGAAATCAAATAATTGACAACTTGAGCATTTAAAATTCCATTGAAAAAGTTCCCAAAAAGATGTACAAGTAATTGATAGAAGAAGACAAAATTGATATCAATTCACTTATTAAGTAACATTTTAATCAACATCTTATATGATTTATATAGTCCACATCAAAGTTGAAAATATGTAGTTTCCACAATATTTACAACTTCCATTATTGAAAATGGGGTACTATATACAAAAGTTGATGTAGGGTATGTGGAGTTTCCATTCATTTGACTTGGTGGAATACAATAGTTAGCCATCAAAGAGGACTTAGAATGAGTGAAGTACTTTCATAAAAACACGTTCCCATGTTTGATGCTCTTAAGACTCATTATGTTTTAGATTCACGTCGTGTAGGATTCAGTAAAAAGGAGAAATACTTGGGTGATTTGCTTAAATTCGATTCCTGATTGTGTAAATCCAAAATTTTGTATACGTTTACCCTAACTATTTGTATACAATTTATGAAAAATTCATAATAAATTATCCTATTTGTATATTGATAAGAGAAATATACAAACGGAGTTCTGAAAATTTTCCAAATGTATAAAAACATATATACTTACCGTATTTGTATATTCGCAAGCGAAATGTCTTTTTAAATATTTTAACGAATTTTCTCATGAATCAATCTGTACTATAGTGTGTATATATATCAGCTCAGGATCATGCATAAGATCTTGATCAATTACACATAAATAACCATCTATGCATGAATTGATCATCAATTTTATTGATTGCAACAAACATTACAAATCTACAACACAGAATCTAAAGCTGGATATACAACTTCTTGTCTGTTTGGGCTCTGTTAAGCTGGAACTTTAGATAAATGGTGAAAAAACTGGTCTAAATAGTATGAAGAAAAAGAGAGTTGAGAAGTGCAGCCTCAAATCCATTAGAAGCTAACCATTTTGAATATGGAGGTGGATTTAGAGTGTCGTCTGTCTATGTGTTCACGTGAACCCATTAGCGTTTGTCCAGTTCCTACAAATGTAGGTAGAAATTTACTAGATTTCTATAAATGTTTGATTGTAAAGTGTAAACCCATTATCATTGTATATTAACTTGAAAACGTTGTGGGACTGCTACACTTCAAATCCTGAATCCGCCTTTGTTTTAATATTGATCTCATTCTATCCAATCTCAGTTGCCCCAAGTCACTAGCTTCAGCAATCAGGCTCAATTATGACTGCACCTTCTTCAACTCTTGTAGTGAGAGACCTGAGCAGAAGAGCAAAACAAAGGAATCATAGATGACACACGAATAGAACCTATCATTTTTTCAGTTGCTCGAAGGATACTAGCTTCGAAAGGATTTAACAATGCAAAGTATGCAAATTATACTATCCAATTCGTCACAAACAACGCCTTATTTCTTACACTACCACTAAGAAGCCGCGCTATGAGAAAAAATACCAACGTTACCATAATAGCAGCATGTGTAAGACCTTCTCGCTTCTGATTTATAATGCTTCAATCGAATTAAGATGATGTAAAAAGAGTGCTTCCGAAAAGGATTCTAAAGCAAATGATTGAGATTGAAGCTAGTGCAAAATCTCTATTCCTATATGAGTTTATCTTTCAGAGAGAACCTACCTCTTCTATGGTTCCCACCTTCAAACAAACTTGTACTAATTAGATTTAAGTAAATATGTCAATCTTGAGCCAAGAAAATAACATCTATCTAATATACAAAATTTATGGCAATGTGTCCGTATATTCCAACTAAGTAAGGAAGTTATCGGATCTGGAAAAAAAATAAATCATGATAATATTTTAAGAGCCAACTACATATTGAGTACAACTAAATTACTGAGATGAGATACAATTCATTATTTGTACCTTGTTGGGGTGAGATAACAGGATCAGCGCACTGTTCTAGTGGAAGTTAGGGCGAGAAGTGTCATTTTCGTTGTCATCCAAAATAAGTTTCACTCCATTGCTCTTAAGGCCGTTAACTATAGCCCAAACTTTTGTACGATTCTTGAAACCTTTCTTCTCAACCTCTTTATTTACATTGACATGGATCCCGTTTCCTTGCCCCTGATCAAGACCCTCCACTTTGAGACGCATTGCCAACACTTCTCCTACAATCGCTGCAGCCTTTGCATTGCAAGTTCTACCGCACTCAAGTGACTGTTTCACTGAATGTTCAACAGTAGATGATGTTGCTACTATACATCCGTTGTTTCTGTCTACCACATTTGCAGTGATGTACTTCAATGATATGAACAATCTCAACACATACCTCTTCAACAACGTCATATTTCAAAAATCCAATCTGTTCAGGAGGAAGTTCTGTTAGCGAGAGTATTAGGATCAGCGCACTGTTCTAGTGGAAGTTAGGGCGACAACTGTCATTTTCATTGTCATCCAAAATAAGTTTCACTCCATTGCTCTTAAGGCCGTTAACTATAGCCCAAACTTTTGTACGATTCTTGAAACCTTTCTTCTCAACCTCTTTATTTACATTGACATGGATCCCGTTTCCTTGCCCCTGATCAAGACCCTCCACTTTGAGACGCATTGCCAACACTTCTCCTACAATCGCTGCAGCCTTTGCATTGCAAGTTCTACCGCACTCAAGTGACTGTTTCACTGAATGTTCAACAGTAGATGATGTTGCTACTATACGTCCGTTGTTTCTGTCTACCACATTTGCGGTGATGTACTTCAATGATATGAACAATCTCAACACATACCTCTTCAACAACGTCATATTTCAAAAATCCAATCTGTTCAGGAGGAAGTTCTGTTAGCGAGAGTATTTTATTAAACTAGAAAGAAAAGAGTAGAGTCGCCACTAAACTAATTTTCAAATGATTAAAACAGTACTTGGGCCTGATTTCTGCCTTTTGGGCCTTTGGCCCAACATCTGGTACCTGTCCTAAACTAACAAGGTACTAGTCAAAATAAATGGGTTTTTGGCCCAATAATTACAAAATACAAATAGCTGAAATTTTAAGGCTCTTTAGCCCATTTTCAATGCAATATACAGCATATACGACTGATGTATATCACTGTATATTGTGCATATCCAGCCTTATAATCCGCTCCGAACACCTGTATGTCGCCTTTAGGGAACCTATTTTTCAATTTTATTGCTCTGGTTGACTCGATAAAAGAGAACTGGGCCTCCTTGGCCTATTTTGCGATGCAAGGGAGAACATCCAAATGACTCAATCCGAGGGAGTTCATGCATAAACAAAATAAAATATACGAATTAATAGCTCATCATGGAATCTCGGGTATCATTTAGAAGAGTCAATGATACCAAAGCAAATAGGCATAGCCTTGACAAGAAATTCGACCTATACTCATGATAATAATACGAAGGACCTAACTCCGAATAATAAGATGCAACACTCTGTATCCAACATAATTGATATAACAAGCATAAAAGAAAGAAAAACCCTTAGAGAAACACACTTAGTGGTTAACAATTAATAAAGAGGAATGTGAGAGTACTATTGCATCTTATTGAGGCAGTAACAGATGATAAGGGAGAAGTAATTGTTTTCTAAAAAGTTGATATACACCAGAAGCGACAGGCAACCCCAAAGTAAGGATATGCTTATGAATATAGCATTCGAATAAAGGCAAGTAGCAAGCTAAAACACAAAAGAGCATAAAAGACTAAAATAAGTATGTCAAAAGTCCGAACTAGATTGAAATACTAGAATTATTGACACATGTTATGAACATGATTGCTAGGCAGTAGCTATATTTCGAAATAAGGAGAGGAAGAACTCAATTTTTATGGAGCATTTAACCTAGAAAAGAGCAGCGAAACTATTTAAAGAGGTTTGAAAATGTCGATGCTACACTAGAGAGAGCGAATACAAAAGGAAGCCAGCAATCAGGAAATCAAATATTTCAAACAATAACAAGAACAAAGACAAGGCATCACAGGGAACGAACAAATCAGAGGAGCTGGACACTTTGATGTTAAAGATGTAAATCACATTAAAGACTCTAGATTACGATAAGCAATAATCATATTGTCATGGGTCGAAACCAAACAGGACCTAAATAACACTCAAGCTACGCAAGAACAGATATAAATTCTACAATATTAGGCTAATACACAATGAGAGTGTAAGACAAAGAATCATGAACAGAAAGGAAAAACAACTCAAAGCCATGGGTGAACAGTAAAGAAAACACAAATGTATAGCCGATGTATTCAAACTTGAAATCAAACAACTCGAACGAAACAAGATAGAGATTCAGCAAGCTTTCAGAACAAGAATATTACTTCACCATTTCACTTAACAGCTTCTAACGTTCTAAATTCCAAAACAAAACAGAGGAAATCTAAAGGTAGAGAAACTATATACCTCTTTTGAAGCAGCGAACTGAGAAGTCGACCCGAGCAAAGCTTTCTACCACCAGCAACAAAAAAATTCGATATAATCTCGAACCCCCAAAGCAATGAAATCAGAAATTTTAGTTATATATATAAGAATTATCGCCCTAAAATCTACTTTCTGTTTTCTCCTTTCACTGTCTCAAACCCTAAACATTGAAGAAGAAAGAGCCTTAACTAGAGGAGATTTAAGGCTGGAAATGGTACGATTTCGTTTCTGGGTTCGTCCCGTTGAAGAAGAAGAAGAAGAAGACGCGTATGGGTATTGATGTACGCTGTTAACACTGAGAAAATTGGGCTAGGATTTAAGGGAATGACATGAAAAATTGGGTTCCAAATTGGGTAGAAAAGGGTTAAAAGTGAAATGGGAATGGCTTGCTAAATGGATTGCAATTATAGACATATAAAATTCAAAACATAGCCGAATTGAGTTAATTTAGTGAATCCAAGTAGAATTTAAATATGATGAATTAATATTAATTAAAAAACTTCTTAATCTCAATAAAAATAAAATAATTAACTTAATTATGAACTAAAAACTCAAAAATATAAACTATTGAATAATTAAACTAATTAACCGAATACTTAATGAAACAAAATCTCTTTGAGACGATTTTCGAATATTTATAAAATATAAAATATATAAAAGACATACTTATTATTTAAAAATAAATGACTAAACTACTTTTAAAATAACTTGAAAATATTTTGAAATGTTATAAAACTAATTATTTAAATCATTTGAAATTAAAGAAGCTCGATGATTAATTCCTACATTCTCAATGGTAATTAGGAAGATAAAACGAAGCTCCACCTTGCAATAATGATGAATCGATACTTCTAAAATAATAACAAAAATTAGATGGACAAATTCTATAACTAAACAACAAAATCCGTCACAAAATGATGAATTATCGACAGATTATCATAAGATTTTGTAATTGCTAGTCGGCAACGTTCCTTGAGAGTAAGTTATTAAGCTCCACATCTCTTGTGTTGGTTTGCGAGCTATTGAACAAAAATAGGTTTAGCCAGTACACACCCAAACGGTTTCTCTAATAAATGAAACGATTTCATACATTAATTGAAGCATATAACTATTTCCCAAAGAGTTGAAAACTCACCATATGAGAATTAAGATTCCATCTTTACTGCCAAAACTTTTACTACACATCAACATTATAGGACATTAGAGAAGAATTGATAACTAACAAAAATACTCAAATGCAGACTGATACAACTTTGAGCCATCAGCTGAAATATAAGAGCTCATATCTTTGTCACAGAAGAACCATAGAAGTAGATATATTGTTTTTGAAATATTCTCTACTAAAGTAACATATATCAAACTAGGTTTGGAAAGAAAATACTATTTTGAAAATAAGAAGAAGGAATGATAAACAATATAATAACTAAAGAAAATGTAACAATAGGTAACAAAAAAATAATAATAAAATAGTAGAGGTACTGTAGTAATAATAATAATAATAATAATAATAGTAAGGAACTTAACACTTTTTTAATATCTACTTACCTTTTACCCTAATTTTCATATTTAAATTTTTCTATCTAAGCTCATGTCCTCGATATGTTGGAGTTGCGTCATGTCTTGTTTAATCATTCTATCAAATACTTTTTTTCAAACAACCTCTACATCTCTTCACCAACCTGTTACACCTCTTTCTTCTTAAAGCATATGTGCATCTCCTTTTCACATGTTTGAACTATTTGAGCAACGCTTTTCTCTACTTTTACACCAATGAAACCACTCCCATCTTGTGTCGAATATCATCGTTCCTATTCCTATCTCTCATCGTATGCTCACACATCCATCTTAACATACTCATTTCCGCTACATCCATCTTCTAGACATGCAAGTTCTTGGTGGACCAAAATATTAATTACATTTGAATTTGTGGATCAAGGTGGGGCCACATCTCGATTTAGTCGTGGATTCATTTGAAATCAATAAATTCTAGTCAGACATGTAGAAATCATTATATGTAAGGGATGTTTGATATAATAATTTTAACAACGAAGGTGAAATTAACCAAATAACATAACGAAGAACAAAATTAAACATTAAATCAAAGTATATAAGGATATATTTGACCCTTTTCCCTATATCCTATTCTATCAACACCACTAATTTTGTGGTTTCCCCATATTATTATCATTTTCTTTTCTAATGGGCCAATAATGGGCTCAAGGCCCAAAAAAAACAAAAGTAAAATTAGGTCAGCCCAAAACCAAAACCCACCGTCCACTAAAAAAATCAACACTAGATTTTCATTTTTGTTGCCAAACTTGAACAAAGGATCACCGTCCATATCTATCTTTGCACCTCTATTGAACCGTCAACGTGCACCCTCACATACTATATATACTTTACCTCCAACATTTTCTCAACCCCTCTTTCAAAAAACCCTCGTTCCTCTCTTCTATAACCTTTAACAATTTCTCCAAATCCGTAGATCTTACGAATTCAAAGGTATTGTATTGCTGATTCAGTTTCGATTTCCGATTTTTTGTAATTTTTTCTGATTTTTTTGAGTTGTAATTCGTGTTAGATGGTGTCGGATGCGGCGAAGAAGAGAGATGCGCAGAAGAAGGCGGCAGCAGCTGCTAGGAGAGGAGGTAAAGGTGCGGCAGCGTCTAAATCGGCTGCGACGGCGTCTAAATCTGCGGGGGAAAGTAACGGGGTTGATAATTTGACGAATGGAGTAGGGGATCTACAGATATCTGATCGGACTTGTACGGGTGTTTTATGTTCACATCCGCTATCGAGGGATATTCGGGTAAGTTTTTGTGTTTTAGATCTGATTTTCTCTGTATTTTAATGGTTTTAGATTCGTTACTGTAATAGTTTTTTCTTGATATGTACTCATTTTGATTGATTAGATTTAAGATATTTGATGGTGTTTATTTGAATTTTTTGGTTTAGTAGCTGGTTGCGTATTTATAGTGCTACACAAAAGTTGAGTGGACGAGTATCTTTCTTAAGCGAAATGCTTAAGTTTAGAAAAAAACATACATGTACAGTATCCATTTTGCTCTATTAGGACACATTTCATCCTATAACTGGACAAATTTTGCTACACAACAACATACTACTTGTGGGTCTGTTAGGGTGGGATGTACAGCTATCTGTTTCTGATAAATTCTCAACTCAAAATAGATGTAATCAAAGCATGATTAAAGAAAAACTGACTTGCAAAATAACAAGATAAAGAAAAGAAACGAAACAACATTTAATAGTGAAACTTAGTAGAATAAGATACTATGCATATACTAACTAAAACCACAGCACGCGACTAGCTAACACATTTACGTATGTTTTTGTTATATTGAATTGTGTCAGCTTGCGTGAATACAAGTGTTATTATGGCTTTTGTCTTTTTGTCGTCTCAAATTTTGCATTATATGTGGTTACAAAATTTGTGATATTTCTGAGGTTCCAACCTTGTTTTATTACAGAGGGTGCATATTGCTGTCAAGAGAAGTGCATATATATAATAGTACTTGTTATAAAGAGTATTGTGTCATAAAAGAAGCTGAATATTAGGATGCAGAACCTTTGGATTACCTTTATTTGGAATATCATTGTTTTGATTTGGTGCTCTATGTTATACAGATAGAATCATTATCAGTCACTTTCCACGGACATGATCTAATCGTTGATTCTGAACTGGAGCTCAACTATGGCAGGTAAGACTTGTTATTTTCATGTATTGCTGTGTACCTTGGCTTAATTGATGTTCAAGTTCTGACATCATATTTTCACAGACGTTATGGTTTGTTGGGATTGAATGGCTGCGGGAAGTCTACTCTTCTTACCGCTATAGGGTTGAGGGAACTTCCCATCCCAGACCACATGGATATTTTTCATCTTTCTCGGGAGATTGATGCCTCTGACATGACCTCTCTCGAGGCCGTCATTAATTGTGATGAAGAGAGGTTGCAATTGGAGAAAGAAGCTGAAGCTTTGGCTGCACAGGTATGATGCTGTTAACATTAAATTAATGTTCCTTGGTCTTGGTTTTCCTTTCAGATAATCATATTATCTTCCTCTATTATAGGATGATGGTGGTGGAGAGCAACTTGAACGGATCTATGAGCGTTTAGAAGCTATGGATGCTGCCACTGCTGAGAAACGTGCTGCTGAAATCTTGTTTGGGCTTGGATTTGATAAGAAAATGCAAGCAAAGAAAACACGCGATTTTTCTGGTGGCTGGAGAATGAGGATTGCTCTTGCCCGTGCCCTCTTTATGAATCCAACAATTTTGTTGCTTGATGAGCCAACAAACCATCTTGGTAATCTTCTCTTTTCATTTTCTAGTTCTAGTAGAATAGATCTTTCAGAAATTATTAGGGTTTTCACGTGCTAGATTTATATGGATGATGTGTAGTCTTACACATTGAGTTATCAGTTATGTGTGTCGTAAATTGCATATATAGGGCATCCAAAGTGGTTCATGGGTCTTGAGTTGCTACACCATTGTCTGTTATAGATTGACGCCTAGATTTTACACACAGCATCACAACCAATCCGAACTAAACTTTCACCACTCCATCCTCACACACATAACGTCCCAAATGTGAACCACATAATCGGGATACGTGTGTGTGCGGGGGGGAGGTGATGAATTGAATAACATGCTATTTTGGGTTAAGTACTCAGTTTCTTTTGCTGTACACCCCTCTATGCATCGTTGCAGTTCTATTTCAGCAGCAACTCTCCTGGCTGTTTTTATGTTTCTTTGTGATGTTAATTTATTACAAAAAGTTGTTCTTAAATGAAAAGGGAAGTCTTTACTTTTGGACTGATGGAAAATATTAGTTCATCCCCTGAATTTTTTAACACTTCATTTATGGGTCTTTTAGAGTTGACATGTGTAATTCTTCTTGAATGCAGACCTAGAAGCCTGTGTGTGGTTAGAAGAATCCTTGAAGAACTTTGAGCGCATTCTGGTTGTCATTTCACACTCACAGGATTTTCTCAATGGTGTGTGTACCAATATCATCCACATGCAAAACAAGAAGTTGAAACTCTATACAGGTAACTACGACCAATATGTGCAAACCCGTTCAGAGCTGGAAGAGAACCAGATGAAACAGTACAAGTGGGAGCAGGAGCAGATTTCTGCAATGAAGGAATACATTGCTCGCTTTGGGCACGGTTCAGCTAAACTAGCCCGTCAAGCACAGAGTAAAGAGAAGACATTGGCTAAGATGGAGCGTGGTGGGCTTACTGAGAAGGTGGGGAGGGACAGCGTCCTGGTTTTCCGGTTTACTGATGTCGGCAAACTTCCTCCTCCAGTTCTACAGTTTTCTGAAGTTGCTTTTGGCTACACACCTGAAAACCTCATCTACAAGAACCTTGATTTT